TGTGTGTGTGTGTGTGTGTGTGTGTGTGTGTGTGTGTGTGTGATGTAGTATTTTTCAAATGTTAATGTGCTCATGAATCACCTGGAGTCATGTTTTTTGTTTTGTTTTGTTTTGCTTTGCTTTTTTCTAATTTTGCTGATTCCATGAGGGAATTGTGTTAAATTGACTATTGCCCGGAAGCTGACGTTTATAATGCTTTACAAATCATGCTTTTTCTCTGAAATGTGTATTGGACGTTCTTATGGCTTGCAGAAGTTGAGCAAATTTGTTCTATAAGAAAACTTCACTGCTCTATTCCAGTGTCCCAAATAAAACAATGCATCTCCATTTGAAACATAAAATATACTAGTTTTCTTTCACTGGATATTTATAAATGCACTCAGAACATGATTACAGAGATATGCCAAAAGTGAGATTAGGATTCTCATAGAAGCTCCTTTTGAGAATGTAGCACATATTACTTAAGTATCCCTGTGATACTTTTTTTCTCCTTTCTTTTTGAACAAGTGGAAAATACTAAGTTCTCTCTTCTAAGTCTTTTGTCTCTGACAAGAGTCACACTGTATATTTCCACCCACTAGCTCTTAATGACATGCAGAGAACAATGATTCACTCCAGTCAACATTTTAATATTATTGAAATATCTCCCTTTGTCCCAAACACAATTTTCAAAACATGTAAGTCTATGAGAACAAAGACATCAAACTGTCTTTGCTAAATCATTTTCTGTTTCTCTCCCTCTCTGCCCAAATTTCCTCTGATCTGTAGTTTACTAGCCAGCAAGAAGACAAATGATAGTCCCAATTAATTAGTCAAACTCAAGCCATTGTCATTTGGTAATATCCACCATTGGTTACAGAGTGGCCACATTTGGGCCTATTTAGTTGGCCTTTTGATTTTAATTTAGCTGTGTGCAAAGAGGAACATTATATCTGTTTCACCCCAAGATTCTCACTTAATCTAATGAAGCTTGGCCTCATTTGGATATGATTATGCCATTCTCAAGGCACCGTGAGTACATGTGATAAGAAGCTAGATGATCCAAAATGGCCCTGACCAGTGGGCCCTGCTTCTCTGATGTCCAGGCTTTGAAAATGGAAACAAGTCAGAAGAAGGGTTTCAAAAGGAATGCAGCCAACTCAGCTTCCTTGATTTAGCCATCCGGTACCAGGGGGAAATGGTCTTTTTACCTCCTGCTGCTGAGCAGCTTGTGCCCCAGGCTTAAGGGCTTTTAAATATTTTAACACTCCACTTTGGGCTTCCAGCCCCGTAGATTTTTAATAGAAAATTAAAGCTGACAATTAATTAGCACCGGGCACACAAGCCTGAAAGGGATTTGGACTAGCCTGAAAGAAAAGGCAGCTGGAAGCAAGTAAAACATTTGAAAACCAGACTCTGGTATGACCACTGCATTTTCATTTCATGGGCCTTCGACTCTTCCTGTCTTTGTGATAAGAGTTTTGGCAAGCCAAAGGAAGATATATCCTCCCTTCCTCCTCCCTTTCTTCTTCCCTCCTTTTTTTCTTCCTCTCTCTCTAAATGTTGATAAAAGGTTTTTTCTCATTATTGAGAATCTTAGGCTAGTAAAAATACCAAATTAGGAGTTCAACAGAATTGAATTTTCTATCAACATCCTGTGTAACCCCAAGCAAGTCACTTTGGGGGGCCAAGATCTTTTCAATCTGAAAATGAGGCAGTTGAGTTAGTCTGTAAGATTTATTCTAACTCTGAACGGTTATTATTCAGAGGAAGGCACAAGGACAAAGTGTGATATATTAATTCTCTATGGGAACCATATTAAATAGGCCATGACAATCCACCGAAGGAAAAGTAGGTCTCATTGCCCTTGCTGATACGTTGCCATGGACAAGAACGGTGAGGAGTATAGCCAAATTGATTAAGGGGTTGGACGCATGCCCCAACAGAGTTTGGGAATTCAGCCTGACTACTATGGCTTTGCTTCACTAGATCCAAAGTTAATATTAGCTTTATGACTGTCATTCATTCATTCATTCATTCACCAAAATTGATCAGCCTCATCGTGTGCTGGACTCTCTGACCTTTGCCAGGGACACAGAGGTAAATAAAATATTATTATTAATGCATCTGGTAGTATTTCTTAGGGACATTTGGGTTAGAGTTGTCCTGGCAACATTCCTGACTCCTTTCTTTCTTTTGGTCTGTATAAATCTCTACACTGTGAGAGTAACACAATGTAGAACATGTGGCAAAATTTTGTACTCAAAATGTTAGAACTCAAAAGACTTGAAAGAGAGAGCAGGAAAGACTGACTTTTTTCCTTTTTTGTATCTCCCCAGCATTTAGCAAAGGCATTCATTCAAATAATAAATATTTTTGCACACTGTGTCAGCCACTGTGATACATATTATTTGATTAGTTTTTATTTTTTCATTTGTTAATAAACTACATTGAGGTATAATAATACATGTAACAAAT